TATGCTGACCTCCTCGCTCTTTATACTACGTCACCTGACTTTGACTGCTGGTGTGTCCAGAAATCACTGTAGAGGGATAACTACTAGGTCATAATTTAAAGTGGAGGGCCACTGACCAAGCTGCAGTATTTGACGAAGGGTGTGTGAGAACAGGTTGCTTATCTACTTTAAAATAATGCAAACAATTAGTTTATTAATCAATTGATTAACCACCAGAAAATGTATGAACAAAAATTATAATTAGTCCTTTCTCTAGCAAAATTACCAAACATTTGCTTATTCCTGCCTCATTTTCTCACTGTTTTTTAATAACTATAAATTCAAGATTTCTGCATTTTGGACTGTTGGTCAGGTAAACCTTGAGCTCTGTGAACTTGTGATTGGAAGTTTCTTTCATAAATTTTATGGATAAACAGTTTGAAAAAATATTAAATACATAAATTGAAAATGAAAATAATCATTAGTAGTAACCCTACTTAAAGCCTTTTTTTGCATTCAAACACTGAAGGTTGTTTAACTACGTCCTTCAAATGTATATGTATAATAAATCCTGCTTAGTATTGCAGTGATGCTGGCTGTGTATGTACAGTAGTGAAACATAAGAAACATCACACAGGATTCCTTCTGTCTCTTTCTTCACCTTCCTCGTGTAAAGTGCAACATCGGCTATGACACATCGACCAGCCTCTCAGCAGGTCAGCGTCCGGCTTCAATACAGCCACATCACAACACGCCAATTCTTCGACGGGATACACTTCCTACCTTTTGTGCCCAAAGGTCACGGCTATCTCTCCGCTGTGGACCACTCAGATCAGATGACAGCCACAACGACATGAACGCCAACGTCTTTGTTCACAAACATTCTCCGAGAACCGACCTTCTGCAGGGCTCACCTGATTCGCTGTTTCCTATCCATGACCAAAACTAAACTCTATCTGTGTGTGTGTGTGTGTGTGTGTGTGTGTGTGTGTGTGTGTGTGTGTGTGTGTGTGTGTGTCATCAAGGCCTTGTGATCAGGTGTGATAGGCACTCATCAGTCAAACGGTCATGTGCTATTGCAGCAGACTGAGGGATTTTCTTCTCACTGATGCACAATATTGGACTTGAGTTAATCAATCTGTCAGTTCTTCTGCTTGACTACACATGTGATGAGTGCGCCGATGGTTTGGATTTATTGAGTGAAGGAGGGTTTTCACTGAAGGATGGGATCTATGGACTGAATGCCTCAGTAGCTTTGTCAACACGCAGAGACACCAAAGTGGGAAAATCACACCGCCTACCAGCTCAGGGCTGGTAAATTTTGTGTTGGTGAGGCTGCTGAGGGTGTTGACTCTGCCATCAGCTCGGCAGCTAAAAAACAGTGTTAAATAGTCGTCTTCTGTTTAAAAATAATCAAACTAAATGGTTAAGTAATGGATGCTTCTGTCAAATAGTGGGAGCTATACCGACCGTCTCATCTTATGGGTGAAAATGTGACAGGACTGGTACTGATGACAAATGCTTCAACTAGAAGTAAAAAGAAAACTGACCACATATTAGGGCTGGATATTGTTAAGAACCTCACGATGCGATTCGATGTTGAGTCTTTAGGTCACAATTCGATTCGATATCGATTCGATTCGATATTGATTTAAATGCTTCGATATCGATTCAGTAATGAATAGAATTACAGCTTCAGGACAGCGACTTCCATCATGTGTTTGCGTGTTGGTATGGCGTATCGTGGTATACCATCTTCTTAAAATCCCCGTTTTCCACAACACAGAATAGTCGTAGGTCCTTACATATGAAGAGGGCCACAGACTCCGTTATCTTCTGTGCGCGGGCAGAGTTTGGCGGCAGTTTGCAAAGTAAGGATCTGTCGAGTTGTGTCTGTTTTGAATCCACAGGTTCAGCCGCGGGTTGCTGCAGAGCATCTGCATGGTGTTGGCTTAAGTGGTTGCGCAAATTTGTTGTGTTATTGCAGTATTTTAGTACTGCCTGGCACACCCCTACCACATAATGGAACTATATGGATTAGAGCCACAACAATTAGTTGATGAATCGATTAGTCCATCACAGTATAGACAATGAATCGTAAACCGTTTTGATTAGAGATTATCTGTATAGAATTTTATTGCTTTTCTTAGTCTTAAACTATAGTGAATTCAATATAACTGAGTTCGTGACAGACAAAATAAGACATTTGAAGATATAACCTTGTGCGGTACGATATTAGAATGTGCATGTTTCAGTGTTTTATGGTGTTTTATAGACCAAACAATTAATATATTAATTAAGAAGCAGATAAATAGGTTGACTGTAATAATCATTAGTTGCAGCCCTAGCCGTTGATGTCAAGGACCCAAAAATTCATACACAGCAGATACACGGACCTGTGTTTGATAAGAGGTAGTCTCAGGGATCCCTGTCTGATAAGATTTAATTAGTCCAAAACTGTCTTAAGTGTAGATTGGCAGATTAACAGTAAACAGTGTGACTCAACTCTCTCACTGCGCTAACTTCTAGTTAGGGCTGCTCAGAATGCTCCAGTGACTTGGTGTTGCACTCTCATGAAGTCAAGAGACAGACAAAATCGATGCAGCAGAAACCAAGATATCCTGTCTTTTAGTTATGCTCCAACAATTCAGAATTTCCTATAATGCAATCTTTCATCATCTTTCATTAGGCGGTCACTGTCTGGGAAACAGTCTTTCCTTTTAAATTCTTCACGTGCAGTTTGTAACACAGGATTCCTGTTATAAATAAGAAGCCTCTAAGCTCAGAAATTCTCTGAGATTTTCCACAGCCAGAGTAGCGCTCGTGTAACATATAAACATGTAATTCTAGAGACATTGTCCCAGCTACTATACAGACCTCCCACTTGGAGCTACTTTCTACTAAAGAAATAGCACCTATACAAATTGTTGATTGTAGACTACAGTTCCAATTGAAGTATCCAAAAATCAAATAACCAATCATCGCTACTCCACAACTTTACATAGTGAAAGCTAGGTTTTTCAACTCTTTCATGAGATATTTAATAGAGAAATTAATATTTTTGTCCATCACAGGTCACTCATTCACTTGAATTTCTCCCACGGGGGATCAATAAAGGAACATCTTATCTTAAAGAGCACATATACGCACATATACATCAACTCCTGGGACATGACATAGCACTGACAGAACCAATACGTAACTTAATGGTCCTATGACTCAAAATTCAACCATTAAAGAAATGTCATTGCAATTCGTCACTGCCCAGCCATCCATTTTCTATAATCACTACGTGATCTTTTCACAGCTACATGGAGCAGAGCCTACACATATGTTTGCATGTATAAGAATTGCATTTTGTAAGAACACATGACTCATAATTCAAATAGATTTTTTTCCCCAGATGGTGGCCTCTTCAGTTTGGAAGAAACTTCCAAGGCTCTGATCTTAGAATCGTTAAGGTCATTAACAGGCTGACTTCTGCATTATCGGGCTCTTCTTCTTAGGCCAACATAAAACAGAAACAGCAGCTCCTGCAGCAGCAGGCTGATTTTAGGTCAGTGGAAACATCATTCAGTCCAAAGTCTTTGTTCTTTTGTTCGTTATAGGTCTCAAAACAGGCCTAGTTTTCCAGTAAAATAAAAAAAACATAATCTAGTCCTAAGCCTATAGAGCTGGATGCTGGTAAATAATCAAATATCACAATATCATTATATTATTGATGATAGTTTAAGGGTGACTGGCACTTTTAGAGATTAAACAATTGTTTAGTCAACAGAGAGAACAAAGCAGCAACTATTTTGATAATAAATTACTTGTTTTAAATAATTTTTCAAGCAAAAATTCTATACAGCTTCTCAGTTGTAACTAGCTATGTGATGCTTTTCTTAGTCTCATGTGATCTACAATGTTATATTGTTGCTTAATTTGTCTGATCAAGAGTTCAAAACTGTATTTAAAGATGTCACCTTGGCTTTAGAAAATTGTGATGGCATGTGGAAAAAAAACACCTTACGGAGAAGATAGATAGATAGATAGATAGATAGATAGATAGATAGATAGATAGATAGATAGATAGATAGATAGATTAGCAGCTCACATTTGAGAAGCTGAAACCAGATATTACTGATGTCTTGATTGAATGAAAACGGACTATGTCTGACTATTTCTTATGTATCGACTAATGAATAAATCTATAAATCTATAATTTCTTAATGCTTTGGCAATGGTGTCTTTGTTACACTCATTCCAATAAAGGGAATTGAATTACTCTGATTGACACATCAGAAATTAGCATGAATAAATATATAAAATATTAGGGCTGACCACACTACATGAGTCTCACAGGCCAGTTGCAGAATCCAGAAATTACTCCTCCCTCTCTCCTAACCCCTTTCTTTGTATCTCCATCAGTTTATCCCCTCTAGTGTTACAGTAAGAAAGGAGTGCTGCTTCAGTAGTAAAACTGCCACAATCTGAGCCAAACACACTACTTCAGTCTTCAGTCCAGTCTCCACACGCAAAATTCAATACAATTACAATATTACATTATCACAAGGCATGAAAAGTGTTTTCCCACAAATCTGCATGTGGCAGCTCTATCAGAGCTGTGACAGTACAGTGCAGACATGTCAACTCTGACCTCCATCTGGAGATCACCCAAACACAAACTGCTGCCAGCAGACGCACACAATTCAGCTGGATTTCTCTCCAGCTCCCCATTTAGCTCCCTATATTATCACTTAGCTTCCACTACTGCAATTCAAAGAGAAATGTGACCCCTAAAAATATACATTTCAGGCTAAAATAAGTGATATTAAACTGTATTTCTGCAATACAACCGAGCGCGAACGGACTTTATGGCGCGTTTACTCTCCACTACATCCATCACCCATCGTAGAGCCGGACAGTTACTACATGTCAAATATCAGATTATTGAACAAATTCACACATATGGGAATGTCCTTTGTATCTCTAACAGCAGCAGACCGTGTGGGAAACCAGCAGCAGTCGGTACTCACCTACAAGAAACCGTGAGTTCAACTTTGGTGGCAGGTATCGCAGCGGTGAAAGGGTCTGCGTCCCCAATACACGCCATATTCATCGAGATGCTGCTTGGCCGATCACAAATCGCCCCGTATCCTGCGCCTTAACGGCGGCATGAGAGGAACCGATGGGGGAGAAGAGAGGGAAATGAAACAGGAAGCCTTGCAATGAGGAGAGGAGCCGTTTTGTTTCTGTAAGCGCGAAGCAGCGGAGAGAGAAACGCAGACGCGGAGCTGCAGCGCGCCGGAGTCGCGTCTCTGTGCGCCTCGGTGCTCCGGAGGAGAGAGGACGGTGTGAAGGGGAGGGAACACACACACACACACACACACACACACACACACACACACACTAACATACACACCCACACACAGACACAGGCACAAAGTGGGAGTGTGTAGTATTTATCAACTTTTAAGGACCAAATGGCTTTACAAACATTGGCCTAAAAGATCATTTCTTCTTCCTCTTTAGAAATTAGATTAAGGATTTAGTTCAGGGTTTGGGTTTTGGAGATGAGATTATTTGGGGCGGATAAGGGGTTAAATGTGGTCATGTGTAGTTTGTTTTGTGGTTGGGCTGTGGAATTATGAGTTAAAATCAACTGAAACAATTAATTAAAGGTCCAGTGTGTAATTTATTGTCAGAAATGGCATATCATGTTTATAGGTATATTTTCTTTAGTGTTACCTGAAAATAAGAATTGTTGTGTTTTCTTTTCCTTAGAACGAGCAGTTTTTAGGTACAGAGTGGGCGGCCATGTTGAACCGCCATGTTTCTCCAGTGGCTCAGAATGGATAAACCGAACTCTGGCTCTGATTGGGCGTTAGAGTTTTTGCTAAGGCAAGCGGTATGCAGTTGGTTGGCTAGATGCCACTGAATCCTACACACTGGACCTTTAACCTGTTTCCTAAGTTTCCAAGTAGCCGGTGGGCAGCCATCTTTGTTTTGATCTGAAACGGAGGCAATTTATGAAAAGGTTAGGAATATTATTTTATCATTCAGCAGACAGAATATTTTTCTGGAAATACCTTCAGATGAAGAAATGACAAATGTGTTTTCTGTTTTTTTCAAACATCACTGGTTTATCTTTTATCTTTTAAAGTATTGAAAAAGGTGAAAAACACTACAGGTCTGACCATGTTGAGATGTAAAAGGAGTTTGTTCCATATGAGCTAAACGAGTTACTAAATGAGTTATAACGTCACGTACATAACTTTTGGGTGTGTAGTCTTTTAAATTAGGTCTTTTTCCAGTCTTAAATTTCAGTTTTACAACAAACTTTCTTGACTTGTAAAATGTATTATTTTGACAAACATCACATGTGTAATTCATGGCACAACTCAAACAGGATGGCAGTAGGCTGTATGAAAAGGTCCACCAAGGTTATTACAGGAACATGAATATCTGTAGCAAACTTAAAATTATGTTGTTGTTTCTTATGTTTGGTGAGAAATTTCACACATTTCACTCCAAATCAGAAATTTCAACCTGATGGTGGCGTTGGAGGAAAAGTCAGGGGATCCCCACAATCAGTAGGCTTCATACACTGGAAGTCATGAATGTCTGTATAAAAAAGTCCATCCAACAATTGTTGAGATATGTCAGACTGAACCAAAGTGGTGGACCAATCAAAACAATGACATTGCCGCTAGCTTTAAAAAAAAAACCCCACTTAAATTCAGGATCCTGTAAATACATATAAATATATAAGTTAAAAACTAATGCAGAATGCAACTTCTACTAGTGTGATGAAACTTGAAGCCACCAGTGCTCATACACTGAGAATAGACAGTGAAGTAAGAGACAGGTATAGGGAATGAGCTTGGGCTTGTTGTAAACCTCCAAAGAACTAATTTAAGTCAATACAGTGTCTTTAAGTGCTCCCCTTCTTGAGCGGATGATCAGGTTGTTGATCAATAAACTTATCGATTACTTGGCTGGGAGCCGAGATTTAAGCATTTTAAAACTTACATTTACAGCTGTTTTGAAACACCTTCACACTTTACTTCTTCCATTTCATGTAATTGAGACTGTTATTTTTTTTCTGTTAATTCAGCAGGTTACAAGAGGTAAATAGGCCTTGTGTTGTTGCAATTATATTATCTCTGTTCCCAGCAGGAGTTTGACAATTACTGTTTATAAGATGAGCTGTTCTGTTATTTAATTACTTGTTTGCACTAATGTTATGAGCTCCTCTAATCATGTGCATGAGGCTGAATTATCCAAAAGCTAATTTTCTTCACAACCACCCTTTAAAATATTAAGGAAATTAAGATGGAAAATAGCACAGAAAACCCTCCATCAAAATTTAAAGTCTTGTTCACAAGAGAGCCAACTGACTTATACATGTGGGTGGGTGAAAATGCAATTATCTCTGTTTGGAGTATAATTGGAAAGCAATGAACCTAACAGTGTGACTCAAATATACTAACATAAGTTAAGGAACAATGTTAATTTTAAAATGATTAAAGACGTGCAGTGTCTCAAAATGAGACTGAAAACACCTACAGTAGCTGATCAGGGTCATCAACTCAATACAAAGCAACGGTAATTATGGATTAATTATGCATTATTACTATTGTGTGTAAATAAAACACACTTTATCCTCTGCCCACTTGGAGTGAGAACTGTAAAAGAAATTGTGTCACATGAGCCGAGGCCAGTCAGGGTTCAGCCAAGTTGTGATTGGACAGAAAAGTGTCACAGAAGCCAGATGACAAAGACCACCTGAGCAAAACAAACTCAATTAACCAGTCCAGCATGAAACTGAGAGCTAAATATGGGAATATGTGTGTCAGCTCCAGTTAGCCTGGAAAAAATGACAGAAAGTGCATCCTGCGGGTCAAACACCTGTTTTCCGTGAGGTGATATGGGGTTCATGTTCCAGCCGCCAATCGAAATGCAGCTTTTCAGTATCCTGTGACAGTCCTATAGAGAGCAGCGGTTCCCAACCCTTTTGTACTTATTACCTCGCATCACATGTTGTATCTGCCACTAAGTGATTTTGCCTGTCACTGATTGGTAAGTATTATTTTTTTGGCCTTTATTTGATAGAGAGACAGCTGGAGATAGACAGGAGAGGGGGCAGAGAGAGAGGGGGTAGCATGCAGCAAAGGGCCGGAGATCAGATTTGAACCCGGCCCGCTGTGTATATGGGTCACCAGCTCTACCGACTGAGCTAACCGGGTGCCCTGTCACTGATTGTTTAATTTGAATTATTTCTAGAGACCTAAAAGGTAAAACTATCTGATATTACCCCAAAACCAAGAGGCTACAAGATTTTGACTTGATGTTGCCGTTCGGGGATTGCAAATTATGCTGTGGGGATGTGTGTACATGTGTGTACAAAATATCACGGCAATCCATCTTATACTTGTTGAGAGATATAAGTCTGGACCAAAGTGGTGGCCGACAGATAGACAGAGCCATCCCTAGAGTCATGTCGCCCACTAAAGTAGTTTAAAAAAACAAGAAAAGTTAAAAAAAAAAATTGATGTACCGTAGTTTGTCTTTTTTGATATTTTTTTTATCTGTTAATCATCCTGCCATCAAGCCTTTTTTATAAATTTTTAATTTTATATTTCGGTCACCTTCGAGAAAAAAAAAAAAAAAAAATTCTGCATGAACCATAGGCCTGTATTTATTATATTATGAATGAAATGTGTGTTATTTGGAAGAAAGTCGAGGTGTGACTGACTTACAGTGGATCCCCCATACCCCCCTTGTCCGTTCCATTAGGGAGACCCAGAGGTGAACTGTCCCCCGCCCTCCTTCCCCTTCTCACACAGCTTCTCTGTGCACGGCACCTTTTCAGCAAGCAGGGGCGCTTGCAGCTGTAAGGGGTGCCAATTTGAGGATTTTTTTTTTTTTAAGTGCTCGTGCCGCCCCCATGTGTCAAAACCCCATGCCCAAAACCACTACTGGTCCTGTGGCTACATTAGAGACTCTTTTTCCTCTTTGGGACTTTTATCCAGGTAAAACACAAAGAAAATGAGCATCAAGAGTGTTGGAAGCACCTTGCTTGCGAAAATATATAAAAAAAATATCTGCTGTTTCGGATTCTTTATGCCAGGAACACAGACATTTGAGTGCGAAAAGTCTCAGCTTCACACATTTAATTTTTGCAGATTGCAGTTGTTGACAAGTACACTGTGTTTTGGATCAGGTCTGTTGGGCTTTTAGGAAAGTAAAGTTAATCATCATCAGCATGTTATGAAAAAAACAACCACAGCTGTACTGACTCTATATCAGAACAGGGGAAATTAGGGAAAACCTTGGTTAAACTCCATGCACTAAAATGGAGGGTTTGATTTGTTTGTAGGCTCTTGAGAGAACGTTTATGTTTTATAACGTGAACAGTAAGATAACATAAACACAACAGTAACATTGTGATGGAACTTTTGTGTCATCATCTTCATCAAGTTGGTCTAACACTTTGGTCAAGACTGAAACATCACAACAACTACTGAACGATGTGCTCTCATGACTCTGGAGATCATCTGACTTTTCGTCTGGCACCAAAATGAGGTTGAGTGAGTTTTGAGTGTAACGTCTCAACAAATATTGGATGGATTGCCATTTTACAGACATTCTTGTCACCCTCAAGATAAATTGTGAGCCTGACTTTGATTTATGATCCAATACCCAAAGAATTAATGACATTCTCATCATCCTCAGCTGTAATTTGTCTTATATAGTATTATGTAACCAGGAAAGAGCCTTACTGAGATTAGTCTCAATTATTAGCATTTAGCTCAAAGCACTGCTGTATGAGTATGGCCTTACAGAGCAACTAACATGGCTATCCTAAGTCTTCAATCTGTTTTGCTCTGCTGGGAGCAATCACATGGCGTTATACGATGGATCTAAATTATCTCAACCTTTATTAAGTACAATTGCAATATTAGCTTCACACAGCAGCTGAGGGAGTGATCCAGATAAAGTGTTGGATCATTTGTAATGAGAAAGCGGCTAATGATTTAGAGAAGGCTTTGTCAATCTCCTCAGTGTAGTTGCATGACAAATGAGCTTATTATTGGGGAACTGTTTTATCACTGCTTGTACTTCCTCCTAGGTAATGTTATATTCTTTCCTGGCTTATTAATGGAGATCTATATTGGTTATAAAATTATTCATGATTTCAGGATCACGGTTTGATTAAGACAATGTTTAAAAATCTTTGAAAACTTTATTAAATATGACTTGTTAAGATTCATTCTTTAATATTGCATCTGAAGTTTGAGTCGAGCGACTCCAATCAAAGTTCTTGCATGACTT